CTCAACATTAGCCACCACGCCTAGCCGAGCAGGACCTATTTGAAGAAAGGTGTATGTGCTGCAGTGTGGAAGACTTGAATAAATACGTAGAGGTATTAACTTATTTTGAGGACATAACAAAGCTTAAAAGTACCGATGCCCTTTTCCTCAGTCATTCCTGAAGTCATTCCAGCCATCAACCTCTGGAGAAATGCTACTGGAACCATTTTACCATGGCACCGGAAATATAAGTCCCTGACAAGGGCTTGGCTGAAAAGAACCAAGTGGGGTACAAACCACGTGTGCTCTATGTTACACAGAAGCTGTATTGAATCAGCAAATATTACTTGAGCATTTGCCAGGATTCCAGATACTGTTTCAGGACTACATCAGAATGATGAGCGGGGCAGGTGTCACACTTGCTTTCATTTGGCCTACATACATTCCAGACTGGAGCTAGCATGCATGGCTGATAAAATCAACAAAAGTGAACTTTTTGGATGGGTGTGGTGGCTCACGCCTGTGATCACAGCACTTTGGGAGTCCGAGGTGGGCGGGTCATGAGTTCAGGAGATCCCAGCACTTTGGGAGGCCGAGGCAGGCAGATCACAAGGTCAGGAGATCTAGACCATCCTGGCTAACACAATGAAACCCACTCTCCACTAAAAATACAAAAAATTAGCCAGGAGTGGTGGCATGTGCCTGCAGTCCCAGCTACTTGGGAGGCTGAGGCAGGAGAATCACTTGAACCTGGGAGGCAGAGGTTGCAGTGAGTTGAGATTGTGCCACTGCACTCCAGCCTGGGCGACAGAGGGAGACTATGTCTGAAAAAAAAAAATAAAATTTTTCCTTCAGTACCTCAGTCACACTGGGCACCTTTCAACTGCTCATTGCCTCAGCTGCTAGTGCTACTATGTTGGGACAGTACAGATCTAGAACATCTTATTTATAAAAAATTCCATTAGCACTGCTCTAGATAGGGTGAGAGAAATGATTAGTAAATTGATGAATCAGATATTTTGAGGTGGTAATTGGTGCTGCAGAGAGAAGGAAACAATGGGACATGTTCGCAGGGGACAAGTGAGGTACGGGTGAGCAGCAGTAGTTTAGAACTAAGCAGGAAGATGGTTCTGAGGAGGTGACATTTGAGCTCAGATCTGAATGGGAAAGGTGAACCAGGTGAAGATGTTGTGGAAGACTATACCAGGCAGGTGGGTGGTGCACATTTGGATCTCTGGATGAAAGCCCATATTCTAGGAAAAGTAAGATCGTGGCTGTGGAAGACCCCTTTAGTGTCAAGGGCATGAAATAACAGGGTTTGGAACCCAACTTCTTTGTTGTCCACAGTGTTAGGCTGCTCTTACATTGCTATAAATACCTGACACTGGGTTATTTATGAAGTTTTTGTTTTTTTTTTTTGAGATGGAGTTTCGCTCTTGTTACCCAGGCTGGAGTGCAATGGCGCGATCTCGGCTCACAGCAACCTCCGCCTCCTGGGTTCAGGCAATTCTGCCTCAGCCTCCTGAGTAGCTGGGACTACAGGCACGCGCCACCATGCCCAGCTAATTTTTTGTATTTTTAGTAGAGACGGGGTTTCACCATGTTGACCAGGATGGTCTTGATCTCTTGACCTCGTGATCCACCCGCCTTGGCCTCCCAAAGTGCTAGGATTACAGGCTTGAGCCACCGTGCCCGGCCATTTATGAAGTTTTAATTGGCTCACATTTCTGCAGGCTGTACAAGGGTGGGACTGGCATCTGCTCAGCTTCTGGGGAGGCCTCAGGGAGCTTTTACTCATGGTGGAAGGCATATTGGGAGCAGGCATGTCATATGGCAAAAGCAGGAGCCAGAGAGGGGAAGAAAGTGCCACAAACTTTTTTTTTTTTTTTTTTGAGACAGAGTCTCAACTTTGTCACCCAGGCAGGAATGCAGTGGTGCGATCATGACCCACTGCAGCCTTGACTTTCTGGGCTCAAGCATTTCTCCCATCCTAGCCTCCTGAGTAGGCAGACAACAGGTGCATGCCGCCATGCCTGGCTAATTTTATTTTTTATAGAGATACCGGTATTGCCATGTTGCTCAGGCTGGTCTAGAACTCCTGGGCTCAAGCGACCCACCTACTTCAGCTTCCCAAGGTGCTGGGATTTACAGGCATGAGCCCTTTGCCTGGCCACACTTTTTTCAATAACTAGATCTCTTGTGAATTAACTTATTACCAGGAGATTGCTGCTAAGCCATTCATGAAAATTCACCAGGCCCCACCTCCAACACAGCATCACATTTCAACCTGAGATTTGGTAGGGACACAGAACCAAACCATATCCGCTCTGTAAGCCTGGGCAGGGTTCCTAGCCTATCCCAGCATGAATTTCTTTTGTGTTTGGGTTGCACATTTGCTTCCTGGGACTGTGGGCATCCTTTGTGAAGTGGTAGTACTGTCATTGATTCGAAAACTGAGTGATGTAAAGTTGAGCAGCAGCCTTTGGCAGATCCTCCTCTAGGCTGTACTTTGGGGTCTGAGATCCACAAGTCCCAGTTGGCAGCCTCTGGTCCAGTGGAGGAGACAGATGCAGAAGGTAATACAACAGGGAGCTTGGCAGCACTCAGGGAATGATGAGAGAGGAGAAGAGCAGGAAAGCTGAGAGCTTTCTGGACAAAGAGGAAAAGTGACGGGGTACTGTGCCTGGGGATTGGGGCACTGAGGGTAAGTACTCTTCTGCATCTCCCCCACAATAAGCTGCTAAAAAGATCATTACTGTTAAATTTTGGACTGGTACACGTGGTTAATCAGCATTCACTGGGAAACAGCACTGTGAGGAAGACAGCTGCCTAATGCCTGTTTCTCACCCTGGAAGAAAAGCAGCAGAGAGGAAGAAATATCCTGAGAGAAGAAAATCGTGTCGAGGGAGAAAGCAGCGGCTCCCATCAGCCCCACATGCTGTGCCTGGACTTTGGTACCTAATCACTTTGGGTGAAGAAACCCAGGCTGTGTCGGGCGTGGTGGCTCATGCCTGTAATCCCAGCATGGGAAGCAGAGGCGGGCAGATCACGAGGTCAAGAGATACAGACCATCATGGCCAACGTGGTGAAACCCCCTCTCTACTAAAAATATAAAAATCAGCTGGGCATAGTGGCATGTGCCTGTAATCCCAGCTACTGAGGAGGCTGAGGCAGGAGAATCGCTTGAAATTGGGAAGTGGAGGTTGCAGTGAGCCAAGATCACACCACTACATTCCATCCTGAGCAACAGGAGCGAAACTCCATCTCAAAAAAAGAAAAAAAATGTAATTGAAAGAAAATAAATGAATTATGCTTTCAAGTAAAGAAAAGTTTCTTGGGGCGAAATACGTTCCCAGAAGTCCTAAGGAAAAGAAAGGATATAGATCAGGAGCTGGAGGGGGCAAGCCCCCACAGTGAAAATAAAAGCTTATTTGGGGGAAGAGGTTAGAAAAAGGTGCTCGAGTGTATCTGATTTATCAAGAAGAAAAATCAAGCGTAGACTGGCAATGGTTGAAAATTAAAAGCGTGGCTCCGGTCCTGGTCTACAGTTGTGCCACCTCGCTGGAAGGTCGGTCTGGGTTGCGGGGCGGTGGTGCGGCCACTGGCCCTGGGCAGAACCTAGTGTGGGGCTGACTCCCTGACCCCTGTCAGTGGTGGGCACCTCCAGGCAAACCTCCGCAGCGCGCAAACTGGAAGCCCAGACAGACCAAGGTTTGTACTCAAGGATCGGGAGGGGGAGGGGGCCGCCTGCTGTGGCCTCAGCGGAAAGTCTCCCCCAGCCTGCGAAGTCCGGACAACTACTTGCAGGTGGGGCACGAGTGGAAGCTCCTTCTGCGCTGCCGCGCTTCCCTGTTTCCCCTTGTAGACTCAGGACAAGTCCCCGTCAGCTGGCAGTAGGGAGAATGGTAGCGGAAGCATATGTCTAGGAGGCTGCTGGGAGTTGTTCTAAGTGACAGTTCTGGGCGTGGCCGGAAGTTACAACAGCGCTTCTCCAGTTGTGGGGGAGGGGGACGGTTAGCGTGGCTATCCACCATGTGTGGCCAGTGCTATTCTGGGCAAAAGGGTCGGCATGTGGTTGTGGCCTCGGATCGCAAGTGCGCAATGACGGACTCGGCGGATGCTTTTGGAGGCGGAGGCCAAGTCCAGTCCAGTTCCAGCAGACCGCTGCAGGCAGCCGCTGGCACTGAAAGATGCTTTTTCTTTTTTTTTTTTTTTGTTGAGATGGAGTTTCGCTCTTATCACCGAGGCTGGAGTGTAATGGCGCGATCTCGGCTCACCGCAGCCTCCACCTACTGGGTTCAAGCAATTCTCCTGCCTCAGTCTCCCGAGTAGCTGGGACTACAGGCGCGCGCCACCATGCCCAGCTAATTTTTGTATTTTTAGTAGAGACGAGGTTTCATCATGTTTACCAGGATTGTCTCGATCTCTTGACCTCGTGATCCACCCGCCTTGGCCTCCCAAAGTGCTGGGATTATAGGTGTGAGCCACCGCGCCCAGCCTGAAAGATGCTTTTTTATTTTTGAGACAGCCGCAGTTGTTCCACACTAGCAAGTTTCTGCGCTGTGACAGTTTTTCTGCGTTGTAATAATCACACTAAAACTAGTGCAGGTTTTACTGCTTACAAGGGAGTTTTAATCGATTTTTTTGAACCGTGTTCTAACACTACCCGTTTTTCCAGTTTTGTTGTAACAAACCACTCGGGGCCAGAATTGTATGTTGTGGAAATAAAGACCAGGCCACCCAAATGAGGACACGCAGAGGTTGACTCAAAGCCAGGTATAGCAGGGAGCCAGTCACCGTCCCTTGTGTTCCGTAGAGAGAATCGAAGGCAGATAGGGTGTGAGGAATATATAAACAAACTGTGATCTCTCTTGTTACCATCCATCTTTGGTAATAGCCATCCTAGTGGTGTAAAGTATATTCCACTGTGGTTTTGACTTGCATTTCCCTGGTGAATAATGATGTTGAACATCTTTTCATGTGCTTGTTCTCCTTTGTCTTGCTCTGCTTTTGACTTACAGAGTATCCTGAGCTTCAGCTGGACCCTAAATTGGATCCTCTTTCTGCCGAGAGTCCCCTGATGAACATTGAGGTTGTTGAGGTCCTCACACTGAACCAGGAGGTGGCTGGTCCCCGGAATGCCCAGATTCAGGCCCTATATGCTGAAGATGGAAACCTGAACCCAGATTCCCCCAGTAAGCAGGTCCAACAACTCGTCAAGCATCCAGGTGACCCTGAGGCCGCTCGTCAGAGGTTCCGGCAGTTCTGTTATAAGGACATGACAGGTCCCCAAGAGGCCCTAGACCAGCTCCGAGAGCTGTGTCACCAGTGGCTACAGCCTGAGGCACGCTCCAAGGAGCAGATCTTGGAGCTGCTGGTGCTGGAGCAGTTCCTAGGTGCACTGCCTGTGAAGCTCCGGACATGGGTGGAATCACAACACCCAGAGAACTGCCAGGAGGTGGTGGCCCTGGTAGAGGGTGTGACCTGGATGTCTGAGGAGGAAGGTAAGTAGAAGGGTGGGTAGAGGGACAGCTTAATGAGGGTGTCTTGGAGGACCCTGTGGGGGAGATAAGAACTCCAGGCTTCCTGGGAGGTCGTGGGAAACATTGTGCCCACTCCATACAGACCAAGGACATCCATGTTCCTCATGTGTTCCTGAGCCAGAGCTACTAAAACCCCTGCATTCTTTAAGTACCCCTTCATGGGCTTCTGATGGAAGCACATAAAGTGCTTCGTTTTCATCCCTCTGGCATTTCTGCTGCACCACAAGCCCTCTAGCACTTGATAAGATACGACTACTGAGCTCATAGAGCCTACAGTAGCAGGAGAGATAGGGATTTGACAAATGAGAGTGCATAGAACAATGCTGAGATTAGGAGGAGATTGAGATGATGGTGAGGTTCATGAAGGTCTGCAGCTGACACCTGGTGTCAAGTAGAACTGGCCAGGGTAAACAAAGGGGCATGAAAGATGGGCTATGCAGAGGAGAGCACTGAATGTAAGGACCAAGATGGAAGGAATCTCTGTAAATGCAAAACCCGGAGAAAAATTGAGTATGTCTGTGATGTAAGGGAGCAGAGGGTGGAGCTGGCACAGCCAATGGGGACTTTTGTCCTAAAGCAATGCAAAATGTTCTTCTAAAACTGTGGGACTTGGCCGGGTTTGGTGGCTCATGCCTATAATCCCAGCACTTTCGGAGGCTGAGGCAGGTGGATCATGAGGTCACAAGTTCAAGATCAGCCTGGCCAACATGGTGAAACCCTGTCTCTACTAAAGATACAAAAAATTAGCCAGGCATGGTGGTGCGTGGCTGTAATCTCAGGAGGCTGAGGGAGGAGAATTGCTTGACCCCAGGAGGCGGAGGTTTAAGTGAGCCGAGATAGCGCTACTGAACTCCAGCCTGGGTAACAGGATGAGACTCCGTCTTAAAAAAAAAAAAAAAAACAGTGGGACTTGATCCCTGAGTTTCAGAAATTGGTGGCACCATTGGATTTGACCTTTAAAGATTAATCAGGCTGTGTGTGTGGTAGATGGTGGACAGGGGATGGGGGTGAGGCTGGACACACACAGGCAGCTATTCCCATGCCCTCTGATGGTGTGGTGTCTTACATAGGAGTGATGGTGATGACAGACTGCAGAGAGAGTATACGTGTGTCGTGTGCATTTGGGAGTAAGACTCCAAGACTTGATTTCTTCTTCAGGCTGAGTTTCACAGAGTATGTGTGCTCCTGCATTGCCCACCTCCATTTTCCACATTCACGGGTGCCCAGAAGATATCTCTGATGTGAATGAATGATTGGCTGCTTCATGTTTGTAATTGAGGGGAAAGAGAAGGTATCCTGAAGGGGAATGTTGAGATTCTAAGAGGTCAGGACGTCCTGGATATGTGGGTATCCAAGGTAGCAGGGCAGGCACTTGCATGAGTTGTTTTAGATGCCCCAAGTCTGGGGTGCTGTACTTGACAGAATAATTGCCCCAAAGGTGTCTGTGTCCTGACTCCTGTACCCTGTGAATAAGTTGTCTCACATGACAAAGGGGACTTTGAAGAAACAATTAACTTAAGGATCTTGAAATGGAGAGATACACTGGATTATTTGGGTGGATTTAACATAACCACACGAGTCTTAAGGAGAGGGAGGCTGGAGGGTCAGAGGAGATGTAATGATAGAAGCAGGTGATAGAGGAAGAAGCCATAAGCCAAGTGTTTGGGGCAACCTCTAGAAGCTGGAAAAGGCAAGGAATGGATTCTCCCATGGAGCCTCCAAAAGGAACATAGCCATGCTGATACCTTCTTTTAACCAAGTGAGGCACAAACCAGACTTCTCATTTCCAGAACTATAAGGTAATACATTTGCATTAATCCGAGCCACTGGCATTTTGGCAATTCACTGTAGCACCAACAGAAAACTAGTTAGGTGCCAAGGAGACAGTTGTGGGGTTAATGAGATGAAAATCAGTGAATTCACCCTGTGTTTAACCTCAGAATGAAATAAATTAGGGCCCCAGAAGACAATGGGAAGAGGCCTTCCAGAGAACCCTGAGGATCCCACATTATGTGATCAGTGTGTTAGTTGGGACTCTTGGGTGTGACTGCCACAAAGGCTTGCACAGAATGGCTCAAAGGAGAAGGAGAATTATTGAAAAAGTTCCAGGATGCTGTAGCATCAGGCAGGGCTGGACCCAGGGGCTCTAATAATGTACTCCAGACTTGTCCTGTCTCCCATTCTTACCTCTTCTGCCCTCCACTGGCTTCATTCGTGGGCAGGCTATCTCCCTGCATGGGATTTCTCTTTCCCAAATATTCCAGCTAAAGCCTGTTGGCTCCAATCATCTGGCTATAGGCTTTGTTCATTCCATATCTAATCACTGTGGCCAGGAGAAAGGGATGATCCAGTGAGTCAGCCTAAGTCATCTCATGGCCCACCTTGATGGTGAGGGTGGATTAGCACTGTGGAAGCCTGTGGACCATGTGGGGTCATGTGAGGAAGGTTAGACATGAAGGAGCCATGGTTAGAGGGGCCATAGGGCTGGATGGAGCTATTGTTTTCTTAGCTGGGAGGAGACTTGGTGACATTCACTTCAAGATGGCTGCATGTTGTGGGTCCAGGGAACGTCTCATCCTTCATGAGGTGGGAGAAGACAGGGAGGAATGAAAGGGTGCCCAAATAGGCAGGGTGGAGGGCTTGGAGGCCAGAAACGGGGGCTTTGACTCGAGGCAGTGTGAGGCAGCTGCCTCACAGGAGGGGCTGAGGCCCACAGCCGTCCTTGGAGCGGGAAGGAGTGGGACCAGGGTCTCAGCAGTGAGGACACTGGTTCCCTGCGGCCTTTGGAGGGTGAGCCATCCTGGGCCCATCCAGGTGTGGGCACTCGGGAGGGGAGCTGAGCTGGTGGGAAGGTAGGAAAGGAGCAGAGGCTGTCTTGGAGCTATAGTACAATGTGGATGTGCAGTGGCCTAACAGTTGCAGAGAGGCCACCGTTGCCCTTTCCAAGGGTCCCCACACCTGCTGACCCCCTCTGGCTGGTGTCTCCTCTCGGTACTTCCTGCAGAACAACCTGTCGAGGGCACCGCCTGCTGCCTCAAGGTCACTGCCCAGCAGGAGGAGAAGCAGGAGGATGCAGCCATCTGCCCAGCGACAGTGCTTCCTGAGGTAAGCAGGGAGTGTCGCCCTTATTTGTTCACAGCATCTCCTGTGAGGCAGGCCCACCCATGAGACATCCACTCTGCCCTGGGCTTTCCTAAGACCTCCTACAGGCTGGGTCATTCTGAGATTCTGGGCTCTTAGGTCTGTGCTGGGCCCTGAAGCAATCTGAGTGTGAAGGGCAGCCCTGCCCTCCAGCCACTGTGGCATCACTGGAGACAAGCCATGGTGACCCGGGAGTTGAGAAGGCAGGAGGCAAGAGGGTAGGGACTGACCAGGTGTTTACAGAGACTTGAGAGATGGAACTATCACAGGCAGGCACATCTGCATCCAGGTCAGTACAAGAGAGCCCTCATCCTTCAGAAATGCATACTAAGGTATTTATCTTTGTAGCTCTTTTGGTATCTGGGATTTGCTTCAGAGTAACCCAGAGCTGGGGTATGGATGAAACCAGATTGGTCCTGATGCACTAAGCATTGGGGTAGCGGTATGTTTGTGGCATTGGTCAGAACTGTTTGCATTGCAGGTGGCTTATACTGGCCCAAGCTGTAGAAGTAAATTTATTGGCTCTCATGTATTCTGTACTAGACTTTAGGCAAGGCTGCATCCAGGTGCTCCCAGGTGATGGGAAGAATCTCTGGCCAACCTGTTTCATGGTTCTGCATTCTCCCCTTTATTCTTAGACAGATTCTGCCCCATGTAAGCAAAATGCCTCCCAGATCCTGGCAAAGCAGGGTTGGAGGAACCTCTTTTTCCCAAAGTCCTAGTCAGTTCCCCAGAAAGTACCAGTCATGGCTGTGCCAGGGTGGCTGCCTGCTCCCAGATCAGCCCCATCCACAAAGGCAGGGGCTTGGTTGTCATTTCCACTAAGGGGGAAGACAGTATTAATAGATGGAGAAGGCTCTGCAGTGGGAACATGTCAGCACTGGGCAAGCTGGATAGAGCCATGGTTAGGATGGAGTTGTTTGCTTGTTGCACTTGTAGCTCTTTATGAAGCAAGGGCTCTGCCTCCCAGCCTGAAACCCAGACCTTGGTTTGGACTCAGTAGACCTCGTGTGGGCCATGGGTTGGTGTCTCTGAGTAAATCCCCAAAGCAGGAGAGTCCCTAGCACAGTGAGCTCTGCCAGAACCTCCCAGCTGGCCTTTCATCTGCCTTCATTGACAACCCTCTGACCCTCCTGTTGAGCACAGACACATGTGTGATGTTACAGGAGCCAGTGACCTTCCAGGATGTGGCCGTGGACTTCAGCCGGGAGGAGTGGGGGCTGTTGGGCCCGACACAGAGGACTGAGTACCGCGATGTGATGCTGGAGACCTTTGGGCACCTGGTCTCTGTGGGTAAGGCCCTGCCCCTCTTCACCCATACCAGGGCTGGTAGGCCATAGGAGCCCAAGTGAGGGGTGTTCATCTTCTCTGGGCTCCACACTGGGCATTCCCTCAAGTGGCGCTTGCTCCATCCAAAGGCTATAAGTGGAACCGTAGACCTAGCATTGGGTGGCTAGAAGCAGCCGTGGTCCTGTGAAGAAGCGATTTGTTATCTGCCCTGAGGCAGTATGATAGAACAGGAATTCAAAGAGCTTGGAGGACACTCCCTGCCCTCCATGTCCCTTGTTCACCAAAGTCAGTGCTCCCCTCCCTGCTGCTTCATTGCTTGTCAGTCTCTCTTCAGGTTGCATGACTCTATATGGAAAAAAAAATCCTGACTTTTGAACTTAATTATGCATTTCATGCTCTCAGACCCATCTAACACATCTACTATGGTATCCACATCTTTTGGTTTTTTTTTTTTCAGGTTGGGAGACTACACTGGAAAATAAGCAGTTAGCTCTAAATTCTGGCATTCCTGGGGAAGAACCAGCTGCCAGCCTGAAAGTGCAAGAATCCTCGAGGGATTATGCCTTGTCCTCTACATCAGAAGATACCTTGCAGGGTGGGGTCCAGAAAGTCCAAGACACAGGGTTGAAACAGGTGGAGTCTGCTCAGGAAAAAGAGCTCCCTCAGAAGAAACACTTTGACAACCCTGAGTCCCAGGCAAACAGTGGTGCTCTTGACACAAACCAGGTTTCACTCCAGAAAATTGACAAACTTGAGTCCCAGGCAAACAGTGGTACTCTTGACACCAACCAAGTTTTGCTGCAGAAAATTCCTCCTAGAAAACGATTGCGCAAACGTGACTCACAGGTTAACAGCATGAAACATAATTCACGAGTAAAAATTCATCAGAAGAGCTGTGAAAGGCAAAATGCCAGGGAAGGCAATGGTTGTAGGAAAACCTTCAATCGGAGTACTAAACAGATTACGTTTATAAGAATTCACAAGGGGAGCCAAGTTTGCCGATGCAGTGAATGTGGCAAAATATTCCGGAACCCAAGATACTTTTCTGTGCATAAGAAAATCCATACAGGAGAGAGGCCCTATGTGTGTCAAGATTGTGGGAAAGGATTTGTTCAGAGCTCTTCCCTCACACAGCATCAGAGAGTTCATTCTGGAGAGAGACCATTTGAATGTCAAGAGTGTGGGAGGACCTTCAATGACCGCTCAGCCATCTCCCAGCACCTGAGGACTCACACTGGAGCTAAGCCCTACAAGTGTCAGGACTGTGGAAAAGCCTTCCGCCAGAGCTCCCACCTCATCAGACATCAGAGGACTCACACTGGGGAGCGCCCATATGCGTGCAACAAATGTGGAAAGGCCTTCACCCAGAGCTCACACCTTATCGGGCACCAGAGAACCCACAATAGGACAAAGCGAAAGAAGAAACTCCCTACCTCATAACCCTCAAACCAGTTGAAGAAACACTGTTTTTTCAGCTCGGCCTTGCAATGTAACATCCACAGGCCTGCTTGTGAGTTGGGACTGAATGTGAAAGGGAAGCATTGAGTGAGGACATTCCCAAGACCAGAGGACAACTGGAGAGACTGCCCAGCACATCATGAATAAATAAGAAAATGAGTGGGGAGTTACTAACACCAGTTGGAAAAAATAATTTTCCATTCAGTTGATATTGTCTGTTCACTCATTTAGTCATTAAAAGTGAGAGTAATAAAATCTGAAAATGTGGCATAAGTTTAAAAAGCCAGGTAATTAATAATCTGCACTGATATTACATTTACAGTACCACAGTAAAGTATTTATGTGTATAAATAAGGATCAAAAGAGAATGTGGATAAACTATTGATCTATTTCTGTGTAGAACCTGTGTATTTCCTGCTTATTTAAATACTTCTACAGTAATGATTGATATTTAAGCAACATTAAAACAAAAGGAAGGAGATTAGTTCTAGAAGGTTCTGTGCAAGCCTGCAGCACCTTGGGCACAAGAAATTATGTGAATTGGGATAAGTGGATCTTTCTGCTTCTTAGGGTGTTGTCATGATATGGTTAGGTGAAGGTAAGGAAAACTAAGACACTCAAAGGGCTGGAAACCCCAGGCAAGTGTGTGGACTTCCTGGGAATATTCATATTTTATTTTTTTGACACAGAATCTTGCTCTGTCACCCAGGCTGGAGTGCAGAGGTACTATCATAGCTTACTATAGCCTCGAATTACCTGGGCTCAAAGGATCCTCCTGCCTCAGCCTCCCAATAGCTGGAACTACAGGCACCCACCACTGCGCTACAGCCTGGGCAACAGTGTGAGACTCCGTCTCAAACAAAAATAACACACAAGAGAGAAAATCCTGGGATTCTTTTTCTCGGGATGTAATGCTTACAAATAAAATGCCTCCGTGGACTACAGTGCATCTAAAACAAACAATCACTGATGTGCACCATACAGAAGTTGTTATCCAACAGTGTGATCTCATAAGGATTCTTGTAACTCTGCCCCAGCCTCCCGAGTAGCAGGAACTATAGGTGCACGCCGACAGGCCTGGCTAATTTTTTTGTATTTTTAGTAGAGACGGGGTTTCACCGTGTTGCCCAGGCTGGTCTCGAACTCCTGATTTCAGGCAATCAGCCCGCCTCGGCATCGCAAAGTGCTAGGATTACAGGCCTGAGCCACGGCGCCTGGCCCACAATCTCGTAAGGCGTAAAACCACACTCGAGGTTGTGGTATTTGACGCTATGCGAATGATTTTTACCTTTCCCTCAAAAATCACGATTCCCTGTCACTGCTGTAAGAATGTGCGGGGCCATTGAGCATAGCCAGCATGGGTCTGAGCGAGGAGGGTCATTCTCATTGCACAGGCTACGGAGCGGCTCCCTGGGTGCTTTCCACGGCCAGGTGTCCACCTCCAAGTGCGTCAAAGGCTGCAGGCCCGGGAGAGGCTGATCAAGCGGGGACGCTGACGGAAGGGTTAACGGCGGAGTCCAGACCCAGCCGAGCCCGCAGCTCTGGGAGGGTGCTTTCGCTTCTCTCCCGAAGCGTAGTAGCTTCCGTCAGCTTTCAGCACCAGGACACAATCGCTGACTTCCGAGCCACAGTCGGCGTCACGCTGGAGACTAGAAACTACAAGTCCCGAAAGACCGCGCGGCGCAGCCCGCGCAACAGACCCACCCAATCACTGCACCGCTCCGACCAAGCGGCGGCAGGCCTTGCCAAGAGTCACGCTTTGCCAAACAACCAACCTGTCTCATCCAATCAGCCTCTCGTCTGCCCTATGAGTTCCTTGTCTTCCCCAACCAGATTTTTACCTCCTCCAAACCGCCTCCAGCCGGTTCCTGTGGCTGTGCCTGGCCCAGTCAGCGGTTGGTGGCTCTTCGCGCCCACGCCTGGTGGAAACAGACTCAGGGCTATCTTGACTACAACCGGGAGTAGGGCGCCCTGCGGCTGGCGGCCGCCCCTGCGTAGAGGAATGGCCCCGGACCTGTGGAGGCTCGCGTATCCCCTAGGGACCCCGTCCTCGGCCTGAGGGTGGTGTCAGGGGCTTTGGAACCAGAGCAATTGCATCTTGAATAGGGGCTTGGTTAACTAAGGCTAAGACCGGTTGCTCTACATTTCCAGTAAGAAGGCATTCTTAGTCACAGGATGAGATAGGAGGTCTATACAAGATACAGGTCATAAAAACCTTGCTGACAGGCCGGGCGGGGTGGCTCACACCTGTAATCCCAGCATTTTGGGAGGCCGAGGCGGGCGGATGACGAGGTGAGGAAATCGAGACCATCCTGCCAAAGATGGCGAAACCCCGTGTCTACAAAAATTTAAAAAAAAAAAAAAAAATTGGCCGGGCGCGGTGGCTCAAGCCTATAATCCCAGCACTTTGGGAGGCTGAGGCGGGTGGATCACGAGGTCAAGAGATCGAGACCATCCTGGTCAACATGGTGAAACCCCGTCTCTACTAAAAATACAAAAAATTAGCTGGGCATGGTGGTGCGTGCCTGTAATCCCAGCTACTCAGGAGGCTGAGGCAGGAGAATTGCCTGAACCCAGGAGGCGGAGGTTGCGGTGAGCCGAGATCGCGCCCTTGCACCCCCCCCTGGGTAACAAGAGCTAAAACCCGTTTTTCAAAAAAAAAAAAAAAAAAATTGCAGGGCGTGGTGGTGCGCACCTGTAGTCCCAGCTACCCGGGAGGCTGAGGCAGGGGAATCACTTGAACCCGGGAAGCGGAGATTGCAGTGAGCTGAGATCCGGCCACTGCACGCCACGCTGGTGACAGAGCAAGGCTGGCTCCGTCTCAACAACAAAAACGAAAAGCAAGACAAAAACAAAAAAAACCTTGCTGATAAAACAGCTTGCAGTAAAGAAGCCGGCCAAAACCCACCAAAACCAAGACAGCCACGAGAGTGACCCCTAGTCATCCTCACTGCTACACTCCCACCAGCGCCATGACTGTTTGGAAATGCCTTGGCAACATCAGGAAGTTACCCTGTATGGTCTAAAAAGGGAAGCATGAATAATCCACCCTTTGTTTATCATATCATCAAGAAGTAACCATAAAAATGGGCAACCAGCAGCCATCTGGGCTGCTCTCTCTATGGAGTAGTCATTCTTTATTCCTTTACTTTCCTAATAAACTTGCTTTCACTTTATGGACTGGACTTGAATTATTTCTTGCGTGAGATCCGCAAACCCTCTCTAGAGGTCTGGAACGGGACTGCCTTCCCAGTAACAGTGAGAGCCCAGACTAGAGATCCAGGTTTCCTGGGCCAGGTAGTCCCAGGCGCCCAGGGGATTGGGACTGTAGGGAGAGGTTGATAGTCTCATCAGGCTCAGATGCACAAGCGTTGTGCTTGCCTGGCCCTCAGTCACAGGTTAGGAGCATCCCTTTCCTGCCTTGGAAATGGCCCAGCGCCTGCCTTTCCTAGACACCCAGCCTAGCTGCCCTCACCCACCTGGTCTGGCCAGGGATGCTTGCTGAAGAGTCGGGCTGCGCATCTCTTGAGCTGTGTCCTTAGCAGAAACCTGGAAGAAACGTGAGGAGATCTGCCAGGACCAAGCATCTCCAGGCTCGCCTGGCAGGCGGAATAACGAGAAGCATACCACACCAACTTGTGTTTTGCCATATCCAGGACCCTCAGTCTTATTTGCTGAGGTTTTTTTGTTTTTGAGATGGAGTCTTGCTCTGTAGCCCAGGCTGGAGTGCAATGGCATGCTTTCAACTCACTGCAACCTCCATCTCCTGGGTCTGGTTCAAGCTATTCTCCTACCTCAGCCACCCAAGTAGCTGGCATTACAGACATGAGCCACCATGACCAGCTAATTTTTGTATTTTTTAGTAGAGACGGGTTTCACCATGTTGGCCAGTCTGGTCTTGAACTCCTGACCTCGTAATCTGCCCACCTTGGCCTCCCAAAGTGCTGGGATTACAGGTGGGAGCCACCACACGCAGCCGGTGAATAAATTTTTTAATCCATGTGTTAAAATTCAAAATTTATAAACTGATTTAAAAGTGGTCTTTCGGATTGGACACTGTGGATCAGGCCTGTAATCCCAGCACTTTGGGAGCCTGAGAGGGGTAAATCGCTTAAACCCAGGAGTTTGAAACCAGCCTGGGCAACACAGCAAGACCCCATATCTGGAAAAAAGAAAAAGAAAAAAGCTGGTCATGGTGGCACACACCTGTAGTCCCAGATACTTGGGAGGATGGCTTGAGTCCAGGAGCAGTAAGCGGTGGTTATACCTGTGCACCCCAGACTGGGCAGCAGAGGGAGATCTTGTCTCAAAAAAAAGTGGGGTGGGGGTGGGGCCTTTTGGTCATTTACTTGCCAAAACAAACGTGAGTTAAATACCATTGATTAAAGGCAGAACACAGTGGCTCACACCTGTAATCCCAATGCTTTGGGAGGACAAGGTGGGTGGATCACTTCAAGTCAGGAATTCGAGAACAGCCTAGGCAACCTGGTGAAACCTGTTCTCTACCAAAAATACAAACATTAGCCAGGCATGTCTATAGTCCCAGCTACTTGGAAGGCTGAGGCAGGAGAATCCCTTGAACACAGGAGGTAGAGGTTGCACTGATCCAATATCACACGACTGCACTCCAGGCTGGACAACAGAGTGAGTGACACTTCATCTAAAATAATAATAATAATAATAATAATAATAAAAGTCATCTAAAAGGGAAAATGGCAAAAGTTAACATAATTTTTAACACGAATAACAATGTAGGGAGTGTCTTACCAAAATGAAAGTGTGTACTGTTAAGCCGAAGTAATTAAAACTGTGACCCTGGAGCAGACAGAGACAAATCAATGCAACAAAGCTATATAGAGGTAACATTTGTGGCATATGATAAAGCAGCCATTTTTAAGTGATCCAGAAAAGAGGAATGTTCAGAAAACGTGCTGGGAGAGTATACAGCTATATGGAAGAAAATTAAGTCAGATCTCTATCACACCATACAGAAAGTTAAATTTCAGAGGGATGAAAGAACAAACATAAGGCCGGGCACAGTGGCTTACACCTGTAATCCCAGCACTTTGGGAGGCCAAAGCACAGGTGGATCACCTGAGGTCAGGAGTTCGAGACCAGCTCAACCAACATGGTGAAATCCAGTCTCTACTAAAAATACAAAGATTAGCCAGGGGTGGTGACAGGTGCCTGTAATCACAGCTACTAGGTAGGCTGAGACAGTAGAATCACTTGAACCTGGGAGGCAGAGGTTGCAGTAAGCCAAGGTCGCACCACTGCACTCCAGCTTAGGTGACAGAGCAAAACTCTGTCTCAAAAAAAAAAAAAAAAAAAAAAAAAAAAAAAAAAACTCAACAATTTATCAAAAGGATGACAGTATATTCAACCTCAGTTTGCTTGAGGAATGCAAGAATGCTTCAATCTCAGAAAATTTATCAGTAAAATTTAATCAACAGTATACAGAGAAAAGCCATATGATTTTAA